CTGAAGATCCCACGTCCGGCGCCATTTTCGACCCCGCTCGAGAAGACAACATTGCAGCGCATGAAAAGTGCGGGTTTGAACATCGATGATGTTGTGGAAAGCGTCCTCTCTCAACGATGTGACCCACTCGCTGGCTGGTGGGCATTGCTGATAGAGAAAGAGCAACGCAAAGAAAGAAAGAGGGAGCGTAAACGCCGAGAACGTGAGGCTGAGGCGAAAAACATTCGCCGGCTCAGCGCAGCGAGCAGTCGGTTGGAAAAGATTTCCGCAGCTCTAGTTGAAGTGGATGAGGAGGGGCACGCATCATCTGATGGCCCTCTCCAAGAACGTGGACGTAGGAACAGGCGGAGCTTGCCATCCCAGCTCACGGTACCAGAACTACCCATGCTTGCTGAGCCAGCTCCCGTGCAGTCTCCAGATTCTAGCGCGCCTCCTCCGCCTATTGACAAAGACTCTGTCCGCTCCGCTAGCTCCACTCGACCTCGTCCAGTACCGCCTCCCAAAGATCAAGCACGGCGGCCGAGTACCTTGCACGCCAGCGCTTCGCAACCGGAACTGGCGCAACACAACGGCCTTTTCAGAAGGCGTACTGGTCGCCGTCAGTATCCGATCATAAGTCAGCTGGCCTCACTCAAGCACTGGTTTGTGGAGTCTGCGAAGAGGGCCAAGTCACCGCACGCAAAGGTTACGAGCGCTCAAGGTGGGCATCGCAAATTTCTTTCGGAAAGACTAAGCCCAGGAAAGGGACAAGAGGCTGGAAAGAAGCCAACATCCCCATCTGCCGTCATTGGAAACCAAGATGACTTATCAACACCGACCCAGATAAAACGCTCGTCGAATGCTAGCAGCTTGGCTCCAAGCAGTGCCTCTTATCCAAACCACCGTCACTCTTTTCCCCGGCAACCTCGACCACTCAGCACAGGTCAAACCCATCGAAATTCCCTGTCGCCCTCCCCAATAACTCCGAGGGGCTCTTATCGGCGGTCGTCTGCCGGCTTGCGTGGACGCAAGTCGACCTCTTCATCTGTCTCGTCTATCCGCAGCGTCCATCATACCCATACCCACTCTAAGGCCTCATCCGTATCCTCGAATAGCATTGGTTCGGCTTCGACACCGACCGCTCGAATCACCAGATCACCACATTCTTCTGTGAAAGTCTTGCCCACGACGCCGAGCGCCTCTGCTCGTTTCCCAAGCAATATTCGCTTGGTCCGAGGTACGCATACTGGAGTGCGTGACATGGACGATCACAATGGAAGACTCCAATCAGTGTTTAACGAGGCAGCCCCGACCCCGCTACTCTATTCTCCTTCTTCAAGCCTTGTATTTGCCCGTCGCAAACGATCCGCATTCAAGGGCCCTATGATTCACACTGCAAACCTGATGGTATCTGGCGGTGTGGCTGCTTCGCAATATTCCCAAGTGGATTATGGTGCTGAGGGTTCTGTTGCTGCAAATGCTGTTCGGCCTGCAGCACGGAAGAGTCAAATTATCGAAGAGGAAGATCTAGAAGAAGACATCGAGGAGGTGGATACCTTCAGCGGCCTAGAGGATGATCCAGGATCACCAGTCGATCTGGTAAAACCGGACGATTACCTTGGACTTGAGCATACAGACGGATCTCTTTCTGAACCCACTCGCAAACCCGCTCTAGCCCCTGCCCCGGACTTTGATGCTAGTCCTCGCCCACCCCGCTCGTCCTCATTGACAACGCCTCCGTTCTCAACGGTTCCCGAGTAGACATTACTGTCTGATGCAAAACTCCCATGAGACTGCTGTCAAAGCCTCCAGGCAATAGCAGCCGGACATACTAGATTTCACCTTGGCATGTTTCGATTCTATCTGTTCTTTTTGCACATTTCATCATATCTATACCCCCTTTCGCGTCTGTGCGGGCTAGTTTTTGATTTTCTTCTCCTTTTCCTTTTCTTTTTTTTTTTTTCTTGGGACAAATCTCAATCTTTGACTGTTGCGCAAAAATAGCAACGCGATCATAAACAAGCCTGGGAAGGTCATTCTTGTACGCTAGAAACCCTCCTTTTCCTATCCTTTCCAGACTTTTTTCTTATTCATTACCTTGCAAGGGTTGCATCTGCATTCTCTTGACACGCACTACGTCATATTTACCACGCACTTCGCGCCGGTTTCTTTTGTATTATAATATCATATCTTGCTCCACATATCCTCCTACTCACCTACATACCTATTTCGTCAAAGATCTGTCCATGTGCCCTGAGTGTGCTTGGCATTTTTGAGCGATGTTCAGCCTATGAGTTTCCACAGCTCTTTCTCACGGGATGATCACGGAGTCGTGTCGGGCTGGCTCCAGTAACAGGCACTTAGTATATATCACGGCCCTCCATGCATTAAAGATATGATGAAACAAGTAGGTCAACCATATAAAGGTCGTCCCTGAATCACGATAGCATAAGCGAATTGCGTTCACTGCTGGATAAAAATGCTCCAATCCTTGTCACTGTCCAATTTTGGCTGTGGTCCCATCCTCGACATCTTTAGTCATAACCTTCTCCTCCTTTAGCCCAACACCACTGGTGTAAACCTTGTCCACCGTTTCGCGGTACGCAGGCACGAGATTCACTGCCCAAGCATACGACAATGCAATGACGAAAAACAAGGTCGGCACAATCATAGCGAAGCCCGTGTTCCGTGCATCCGCCACTCGACCGAGAATTGGTGGTACGACTGCTCCGCCGCAGACAGCGCCGACAATGAGCCCGGAGGCCCGCTTATAGTTCCTACCCAGGCCGCATATACCAAGCGCGACAATCGTTGGGAAGCAGACAGATTCGAAGAAGAGGGTACAGAAGAGCATTGCTAGTGAAATATATAGTTAATTGTTGTTAGTCAGCTGGGCATCCTGCGCGGCAGAGCCGGGGTAAGAGAGGAAGGGCAGAGAGAGAGCATGGGGAGGAAGAGAGAGGGACAATAGGAGAGGCTGGACGAGGATCTAGAGACAAGGGCCTATTCATGAAGCGTGCGTGCTTTTGGATAAATGGATAGAACACGAGGGCAGAGGTGGGACGTACCGACTCCTGTCCGGCCATGTTGCGTTATTGACGCAGCGATGAATGCAACAGTGCAGGAGAGATAAAGTAAGAACACCCAACGGGCTTTTGCAAATCTCATGATAATGGCACCGACGAAGCGACCGACAGCAAAGACACCCTGGGCACCGGCAAGATACTTGGAAGCTGTGGCGCTAGAAGTTCCGGGCCAGGTCTCGGTAACGTAATTGATGAAATAGCTTGCGATAGCAACTGATGTACGCCAAAGGAGAGGTTAGGTGTGAGAAATAAGGCAAGCATATGTATGCAGGTCTGGAGTCATACCTTGCGCGCCTGTATAAGTGAATTGTGCCAGCGTAGCATGGAAGAGCTTATATTGCTTCCGGAGTGGCTTTTCCTGTTCGTCCGCGTGTGTCTCGGCAACCTGAAAGGCCATGTCCTCATCTGTCACCTCGGGGATCGAAGAGATGAAGAAGATACCCGCGAGGGTGAAGACAAAGATGCCAATTGCGAGATAAACCCACTGAACGCGCTTGAGGGCATTGACATCGTCGCCCACGGAGGTGAAGAAGACATATGAAGCTAGCACTGGCGCCACGCAGGTTCCGATCCCGTTGAAGGCCTGGGCAAGGTTGATTCGGATTTCAGCGTATCTGGGTGGACCACAGACTAAAGGCTCATTCTAGTCAATGTTTCTCATTCCTCGCTCAAACCATGGAAGGATGGAGCTCAAGGAGTTCACATATGCTCCACTCACCAGTTATGTATGGATTGGCAGCCGTCTCCAGAGACCCCAGGCCAGAGCCAGTAACAAAAGTGGCTGCACAGAAGCCTCCGAATGAACGATGCAAGCCTGCAGGCCACATGCAGAGAGCGCCGATACCATAAAGAGTCAGGCCGAAAATGAAAACGGTCTTGTAGCCGAAATGACGGAGCATGTAGTTCGCATAGCCAAGGGACGCCAGTGGATAAGCACTTAGAGCTGTCAACCAGAAGGTCCTCTCCTTGACAGATGCATGTTATTGAAAGAGATTGCTGACCCAAAGTAAGCTGCCTGGAGTCCAGAAGAACGTGTACGAGTGATATGCATGGTGTTCTGGAAATGCTTGTTAAGTGTGTCTAGTAGACCATAGGCGAATCCCTGCAGCGCAAATATGTCAGCGACCACCAGCACATATGTTTATCTCTTGCTATAGGGCGCTCACCCATAGGAAGAAGAGTATGGTGACGAGAGTCAAGGGCCAGATACTCTGGCGCAACGTAAGGGTGGCGGCAGAGGTGGTTCTGCTATTATCGACCCGGAACCCAGTCCGAGTCTTCAGGAAATACACGATCCCCATTCAGGCGCGATGGGGAGGAAGCAGTCTATCTGAGAGGAGGAGGAAGACGAAAGAGAAGAAAGAAGGTCTCTTGAAAATAGGTAGGTGAGAGGGATTGTAAGATAAAGCCACTAGAGAGCGAGGGAGGGAAGGAGGAGTATGTATGTGGCTTCTTCACAGGCAATAGCTTTCAATTATATCTCTCTGAGCCCAGGTCTCTTCTCGTCATTCCCCCGGACTCTCTCCGCAGAATCAAGAATGGGGAAATAGGAAAAGGAGGGGTTTGAGGGAAGGCCAAATCATCCGGGGGAATGTCCCCGTTGGTCAGGGTTGAGGGGACAAGATTGCAGCAGGCATTCTCACCTTCGATGCCCCGGTTTCCCCGCAATTGAAATTTAGGCTGAAATTCGTGATGAACCGGACGGTCTCAATTCAATCCGTTTTAGTCACCTATCATCGCGGTGTATTTATAGAGGTGAGTTGAGACTAGTCAGAAACTAGGGTGAAAGGAGGGGGAAATGGTGCCGACTTGGAAAGAAAGGCCATCCATATCACGGGATCGCATAATGTAGAAGTATGTGTATACTTTGTTCACACATGTATGTGGTTATTTGTTTGTTTGTTTGTTTGTTTGCCTTGAGACTTGATATACTACACAGTAGACAATAATACATTTGATACACTAATCTATCTAAAACGGGCTCGGTGGGTAAAAAAACGTATTCAGCTAAGCAGGAGAACAGTCGATTGCGAGTGAAACAGGTGAGAAAAGTCTAGGCATAGTGTCCACATGATACATGAAAACAGAACCTACTTCGCTAGGCTCATCGCTGTAGATATCGGCGTCATCCTTCTCTATACGCCCCCAACCATCCAAAGGTATAGGTATATGCCATCAATTGCCCAACGGCAAAACAACAAACACATAGAATATGAAGGGACAAGAAATCTATATATCATCAAGGCGATCACCGACATCTCAGTCATCACTTCATCAACAAATCCTTCACGCCCTCTTAGGCTTGCCATTGAGTTCCACAGGCGCGACTGCGGGAACGTTATTGTACAAGCGGCGCTCCATGACCTTCAGAACCTCGTCGATGAAGCTAGAACTGGTCAGAGAAGATATTCCATGCCAAGGGGAATGGACAAATCACTTACATAACAGGGGCACTGATAGCTAGGACCGCCTGCCATTCCATCCAGCCCAAGGGCAGGATAGAGAACAGACCCTGCAAGAAAGGAACATAGAGAATCGCAAAGTGCAACGACATGGAGAGGATGATCGCATAGACAAGCATCGGGTTATTCGACAGGCCGAAGGTGAAGAGCGACTCGCTGGATGAGAGGGCGTTCATGGCGTTGAGCATTTCAATCACGACGAGGATCGAGAGCGACACAGTAGATGCAGAACGCGACATATCGTTGGTGAACATCTCACAACCAACTTCGGGGAACTGGGACGAGCACTTGTGGAAATGAGACTGTGGCGATATATTAGAAGACCTGGCACGTAGACGATGGAAAGAGGCAAGGGCGCGGATCTTACCAGCTGCCAAAATGAAATCTGAGGCCCCTCAGGATTGTACACAAACCACCAGACATAGCCGAAGACAGTAGCGGCACCGACGTAGGTACCGATCACCATGTACCTGAAAAGGAGCCAGCCGCCGACCAGAGGTTCATCACGCTTTCGGGGGGCACGTCTCATGACATCGTGATCAGGGGGGTTGAAGGAGAGGGCTGTGGCCGGCAACCCATCGGTGACCAAGTTAACCCACAGAAGCTGCACAGGGATCAAAGCCTCCGGCATGCCCAAGGCTGCAGTCAAAAAGATAGAAACGACTTCACCGATGTTCGATGAGATGAGGTACCGGATGAATTGCTGCGTGTTGCTATAGATCGAACGACCCTCTTCAACAGCCACAGTGATGGTCGCGAAGTTGTCATCAGCCAGCACCATGTCAGCGGCAAGCTTGGCAACGTCCGTTCCTGTGCCCATGGCGACACCAATGTCCGATTTTTTTAGGGCGGGAGCGTCATTTACACCATCTCCGGTCATTGCGACAACGTGGCCCAAGGATTGCAGGAGGTCAACGAGCTTGGACTTGTGGCTAGGCTCAGTTCGTGAAAACAGAGACGCAGTCTTGACAGCATCGAGCTTTTCGTTGTACGACAGGCTATCGAACTCTCTTCCGGTAAAGCTTTTACCCCTCAAATCTTCATCTTCACTGAAAACACCAATTTGACGGCAAACAGACTCCGCAGTATTGCGATTGTCACCAGTAATGACAATAACACGTATACCAGCCTCCTTGCACTTTCTGATCGAGGCAGCGACCTCCACCCGTGGAGGGTCCAGCATCGCAACGAAGCCGAGAAGCGTCATATTCTGTTCCAATTGAGCGTAATCGTCCGTGGATTTGGCATTGTGCAAGAGAGGGTTGGTTCCATCAGTGTCCACGCTAGCCAGTGCGATTACACGAAGACCACGGTTTCCATATCCAATTAGTTCTTCAGAAAGGCAGTTCAGGTGATCCTTTGTTATGGAAACACGCTTTCCGTTAGTACCAAGAAGTACATGGGAGCAGCGCTCCAAGATGGACTCCGGTGCACCCTTAACCAGGAGCCTCTGTTCCTTTCCAGTATCGACAAGAACCGACATACTTTTCCGGTCACGGGAGAATTCATAGGTTGCCTTGAGGGACAAGCGAGTTTCGTAATGAGCACTGGCAGCATGAAGCCTTTGGGTAGCTGGGAGAGGTAGCAATTTAGCGTTGATAGCAGAATCCTCGGTGCCGATTTTTTCGACCAGAACGCGAAGAGCACCTTCAGTGGGCTCGCCGATACAGGAGAATGCGCCAGTCTTAGCATCATGGGCCAGGGTCGCGCTGTTGCAGCGAGCCATAACCTCTGTCATTTGCCGAATGGTAGATGAAGTGACAGCAACGTTTTGCAACTCCTTGCCTTGGAGCGAGATTTTGCCTTCAGGAGCGAAAGTCGTACCTTCAACGTCGATTTCCTCGACGCAATGGCCAGTCTCGTTGAGGTAAACAATCTTCTCGGCGCTCATCTGGTTGGTAGTCAAGGTTCCGGTTTTGTCGGAGCAGATCACACTGCAACTACCCAGTGTCTCCACCGAGGGAAGTGAACGGACCACCGCATTCTTCTGAGCCATCTTGCGTGTACCAAGAGCCAGACATGTGGTGATCACCACCGCCAACCCTTCCGGAATAGCCGCCACGCCCAGGGACACTGCAATCTTCAGGTAGTAAATGGCTCCCTTAGTCCAGCCACCGTGGGACGGGTCGTTGAAGTGCTCAACGTTGATAATCCAGACAAGGACACAAATGACAGTAATCACCTTAGCTAGCATGTCACCGAAGTCATCGAGCTTCTGCTTCAGGGGAGTCGGCTCCGAGATCTGGGAGGTAATACTCTCATGAATATCACCAATGGCCGTCGACCCACCCGTCAAAACAACGATAGCGGTTGCATGTCCATTGACAACGGTTGTACCCGAGAAGAGCATATTAACTTGATCTTGCTTGACCGCTTGCTTGTCCTGGATGATGCGAGCATCCTTGGCAACGCTCTCACTTTCGCCGGTAAGGATAGCCTGGTCCACACGGAAACTATTGCTGTGGATAGCGAGCAGTCTACAGTCCGCCGGGACACGGTCACCAACTGCAACGTGGACAACATCTCCGGGAACCAGGTCCTCCGCTTTGACGCGCTGGGTTTTGCCGTCACGCACCACTGTAGCTTCATTGGCGGAATATTCTTGAAGAGCAGCAATAGCTTTCTCTGCATTGCTTTCTTGAGTGACACCAACCACAGCATTGAGAATCAGAATGGTCAAGATCTAGTGTACAGCACAGGGTGTTAGTGGCGTCCCCATCCAAATGCAGTTTTGAGAGAACATTCTAGCAACATACCACAACCGGGTCGACAAAAGCAGACCAATCGTCACCTTCCTCAAAAAGAGCCAGTATAAAGGATACGGCAGCGGACCCCAAAAGAATGAGAACCAACTGGTCTTTGAATTGTTCTGCAACGAGTTGCCAGAGAGGTGTCGGTGGCTCTTCCGCAAGGGCTGGATGACACGATTAACGTTAGCATGCTCCGAAAAGTGACAGCTTCACTCAGTACACCGAAAGATGGCATGGTGGCAACCTACCGTTGGGGCCATGTCTCTGCCTAGCTTTAATGACTTGGTCCTGCGAGAGACCAAAGCTTTCGGTGACACTAAAATGGTCCAGTACTTCCGCTGGGGAAGAAAGGTAGGATTGCTCCATGTTGGTTGGAGACCCCCAGATATCGGCGAGGGTGACCAGGAGTGGGAGCAAGGAGGAAAAAATGTAAAAAGAAGAAAAGAAAAGGAAAGAAAGAAAAGGGAAGGGAAGACAACAGGTGAAGGGGACTGAGAGAGGAGGGGGCGGGAAAGAAAATCGGGGATATAACCCAGATCAAGACATGAACGCCAAGTGGCCAGAAACCCCCGGAGCTTAGTGAGTGAGTGAGTGAGTGATAAGTAAGTTCCAAGTTGGAGAACTCAGTCCTTAGTTAGTTAGCCGGGAGGGATCTAGGCAAAAGAAGGGTGGAAAGTCCGTGACCCGGTGCAATAAATATGCAGTACAGCGGCAGGGCACTGGTTAGGATCCAGTAATATCTGGACTCCACCAAGCACGAGGGTACGTTAGCGGGCTGATAGTGATAGTGTTCGTGATGATTTTATAAGTTATACGAATTGTATTGTGATGTCAATGAATGGATCATCGGTACTATTTATAAAGATTGTTGGTGAATAGTGTCAATCGTTGTTGATGTACTGAAAAGTAGACTGAGAGAGTCTGGAAAGATGATGATGCCCTGGAGAAGAAGGGTTGGAAGCGGCGACTTTTTCTTGGTCCCCCTCAGGCACTTTCAACGTGTTCTCCTTGGCGGGCGTCTGTGTCTGGCTGGATCCAGGTCTGGCTGGAGTCTTGATCCATCATCCATCCTTCTCCATTCGGTCCCCGGGCGGGCGCGGCGTCAGAATTGCCGATACCAAACCGGCAGGGCTGAACCATACCATACCGTCCTGGACTTCTGGATGCTGGGTGACACACCATTGTGATACCGTACCTTACCCCGAGTGAAATTTGGTTATGCCTCCACTTCATTTGGCCGAAGTACTGGGTCGGAAATTCTGATGGAGCAATAAGAGAGAGGTACCTACTCGACGACTCAACAAGCACCACTCCACCCTGAAATGATGATGCTTTGCACCCAAGATTCATCTGCTCTATCTTAGTCCTGGTTTCTGGGACTGGGATTGGAAGTGGTCGCATAACGTCTACAAACGATCTTTGCGCTTATCAACTTCCAGTTGCATTTGTGTATGCCGTACTTTGAGCCAATCCTTTCCCTTCGATGTGTCTTCATTGGATCCTGGGCCTACGACTTCAGTGGCCGAGGCAAGTAGCGTCGTCCTTTTTGCCTTGGCCTTGTTTGTAAGGCAGACTGGAAAGATTCCGTCTTCGCATGTTCGCTTCCACTGCAGGTCATCGGTCTAGCTGTACTATACAGTTAGACAAAGCTCCATTCCAAACGTGATCGTCTTGGGACAACGGCCTCTGCCCTGTCAAGTGCAGCGTTGACCAGCAGTATTTATATTAAATGTATTGCTTCGTGCAGGAGGGCCCGGGGGGGGGGATTTCATTGCAGTGGCTGCCCACAAACGTGGTTACGCATCCGTCCCCAAATAGAGTATTCTTCTTGACGGGCCCACAGTCTGAGATTTGAGAAGAAGTCGGATTTACGCAATGGCTAAGAGTTCAAATACTATTTGATGCTATTTTCACTCAAGTATAAATAGTTTGGTGCTGCCCACCGGTCGCAAAGCGTATACTGGCCACATACTAGGTAAGTGACGGAGGACCCTCTACACAGCACAGCCCTGAGCCAGTTGCCTTAGTTAGCTGTATTGACCAAATCCCGTGACAAGGGGGCAACCGCAACATGTGACCCGATAACACGTGACTGAGATGACTGAGATGCGGCGGTCTACGAACATGAGGATGAGGGAAGGATGTTTGGCCTCAGGCGGTCAGAGACAAACAAACGTAGCAAACAGATGAGGCGCCCGCTTCTCGCTAAAGCTGGCTGGTCGTCACCTTCACCGTCCATCACTCGTTGCTGTGAAGATCACATCTACCAAACCACTCGTGATTCCATCCTCATTCCATCCTATTTTCTCCCGTCTGTATTTTGCTCGGTCACTCTAGCTTCCATTCCACTTCCTTGTCAACTCTTTTTTACCTCCCCCCAACTTCTTTTGCAACCTTATCTGTGTCAGATCTCCAAGTATGACTTCTGAGGTATGTTGTCCCTCCATGCCCCCCTCCCCTCTCCCACCCACCCCGTGCCTGACCCCTCTGCCCTGTGCTCTTGATTGTAAGCATCAGGACTGGTGCTATTATACCTACTCCATGTCTTGTATCTTTGCCGCTTTTCTATGCTAAACTCGACCTTTAACACTTTTGATTGCGACTGGAATGCTCACTAACTCGTTCTTCCCCCTTTACCTACAGCGTGAGAGGTAAGGATCCAGACCTGTCTTTAGCAACTGCAACCAACCTATTCAACAACGCTCACACCTCCTCCCTATCCTTAGCAAGACATTTCTCGCCCGCCTTTGCGAGCAGGCTGAGCGCTACGATGGTAAGATGGTCACTGCGACTTCCCGCATTCCCGCTGTCTGTCGATGTGGCATGCTGATCCCCACTGTCCATAGAAATGGTCACGTACATGAAGGTGAGTAACCGTCATTCTAAAAACGACAATCAAAATTGATGTGGTAACTAACTATGTATTCAGGAAGTCGCCAACGTATGCAACCCTCTCCTTTGATCGACGAGATCCCCTATCGTGAAAGCCCCTACCTTTGTCCGCCCGGCTGACACCCCTGGTATTAGATCGGAGGCGAGCTTTCCGTCGATGAGCGTAACCTTCTTTCCGTTGCTTACAAGAACGTGGTTGGTACCCGTCGTGCCTCCTGGCGTATCATCTCCTCCATTGAGCAGAAGGAGGAGACCAAGGGCTCTGAGAAGCACGTTTCCATCATCCGTGATTACCGTCAAAAGATCGAGACCGAACTCGAGAAGGTCTGCCAGGACGTCCTTGATGTCTTGGATCAGTCCCTTATCCCTAAGGCCGAGACTGGCGAGTCCAAGGTCTTCTACTACAAGATGTAAGCGTCTATCCCTTGGGTGAAGTAGGTATCGCAACGGCGCAGAAATTAACCTATCTACAATCCGCAGGAAGGGTGATTATCACCGCTATCTTGCCGAGTTCGCCTCTGGCAACAAGCGCAAGGTCGCCGCTACCGCTGCCCACGAGGCTTACAAGGTATGTCCGCTGACAGTTCGGTTGCCCTTCCTAATGATATCCTATACTGATGATCTGTCTTAGAACGCCACCGATGTTGCTCAAACCGATCTCACTCCCACTCACCCCATCCGTTTGGGTCTCGCCCTTAATTTCTCCGTCTTCTACTATGAAATCCTGAACTCTCCCGACCGTGCCTGCCACCTTGCCAAGCAGGCCTTCGACGATGCCATTGCCGAGCTTGACTCCCTCTCCGAGGAGAGCTACCGGGACAGCACTCTGATCATGCAGCTCCTGCGTGACAACCTGACCCTGTGGACCTCTTCTGATGGTAACGATGCTGAGGGTGCTGCTGCTCCTAGAGAGGACAAGCCCGAGGAGGAGGCTGCTGCTGCCCCCGAGGATAAGGTGGAGGAGGCCCAGCCTGCTGCCCCTGAGTCCTGAACGATGGATCCTTTCCTAGTTGTATCAAAATTCCCCCGTGCTGTGTCATCGGCGTGCCTGCTCGGAACGTGCGACTAGTACCTGGAAGTGCTTATGGCGCTCTGCTTTGAGTGCGTGACTGATTTAGGCCGGCACATGTCTTCCACCATTTTGGGATTGTGTGGGTCGGTCGGCGGAGTTTGATATTTGGAGCGTGACGAAAAGGGGCTGAGTGGAATTTATCTCTCTTTTATTCTCTCTTTATTCCCACTCCAGCAAGATACAATGTCTTATTTCCAGTTCCTGATTCACTGCTGCCCCTTTTCCCCCTGTTGTTTCTTCCGCACAATGCCAAGAGCCTTGAGCTTCCCAGATGATCCCGTCCGGAGTAATCAATTCCGTGGACCTTTTCACCCACCCAGACTTTCTAGTAGCTGAAAGCTTTCTGATGTCGAGCATCCATGATAGTTGCCGGCTTCATTCACCACCCACCACCTTGTTGAATTCCCTGTTTCAGTGATATCTTCATAATCCTAGCAGGCGGTTTCTGTCCCGAGGTGTAAAATGTCTATTGAAAGTCAAGGCCTATAGTGCGTCTGAATCATGGGCACTGTCCTGGACTCGGATTCTATGTCTATATGCGAACAGTAGTATGTTGTGAGCAGGATGGCTGCTTAAAACAAATAGGGAAGAACAACAAGGAGATGGGTTTATATCGCATTTACAGGAATAGGGCACGTCAGAAGCATGTCAAGACCGGTCTAGCTAAAAACCTGGAGAGGATGAAACCCGAGACTAAGAGAAAGCTATGGAGGATGATGAGATAAGGAAAACGTGTCACGCCAAATTTCAATAATTACATGAAGTCATCGTCATCCAAGCCATCGTCATCATAAGAGTTAGAGTCAATGTGGTTATCTCTGGCAGCGACGAGGGAAACCTTGGTCTTGGCGGCCTTGGTCTTCTTGTTGCCCTTGTCAGCGGCACGCTCCTCCTTCATCTTCTCGTTGCTGAGGGTGGTCAGGCCGGAAGCCATCTTCTTGACATCGCCACTGGGCAGTTCCTTGGCCAGCTGCTTGACGAATTCCTGGGCCCACAGGGCATACTGGGGCTTCTTGGAGTGCACCGTCAACAGGGGGATCAGGGTCGCGGTGAGGCGCGCGAACTGATCCTTGGTGGTCGGTTTGAACAGCGGCATGGCCGACAGGTCAACCGCCTGGGTGGGGTCAGCCGAGTCGCCGATAACGACGGCCTTGGGGGCGCCGCGGTTGCGCATTCGGTTGAGATCGATGTCGCCAAACAGATCCTCGGCGTGCTTGAGATCGGCATCCTTCTCCGTCTTGCGGAGGCGGGCGCGGCGCTCGGCTTCGTCCTCATCGCTCCCCTCGTCGCTCTCGGCGTCTGCCTGTGCCTTCCGCGTCGCCTTGTGCTCTTGTATGCGCTGCGCCTTGCTCTTCTTGTTGGCCGCAGCTTCCGCTTCGGCCTTGGCCTTGGCCTCAGCAGCCTTGACGGCCTTCTCTCTCTCTACCTCGGAGTCGTCGGCGGCATCCCATGAGTCGAGGACCTAAATCATTGCAGTTTCTGATCAGCGCCTCGTCTTCTCCGCGGTTTGCAGGCATCTCCTCGTTGAAAGCGATTTGAATGAATTACTGGAAGTCGAAAGCGGTCGGGGAAGGAAAATGTGGGAGAAAGCCGCCAATTTCCACCCATGACCGCATTCTCTTGATTGAAAAGAAAGGGAAAATAGAAGGTAAGGACAACTTACATCGTCTTCTTCCTCATCGTCAAACTTGCGACGGGCAGCAACGGGAGGGGGAGAAACGCTCTCCTCCTCGTCATCTGAATTTCGACGTCAGTTGGTGTGTTGGAAAATGCAATGATGTGGCGTGGAAATGGTATCAATAAGGAGGGGAAGGAGGGCGGAGGGGTGAGTGTAGTATGGGACAAAAATCCATTTGTAGAACATACCCCACTTTGAAGGAGCCATAGCGGACGAAAGTAGCTCGAATTGAGATAGGAAAAATCACAGAGTGCGCTCTCACGTGGCTAGTTAGAAATTCAGTAAGTTAGGGTCCCTTGTCTAGGAGACTGGGGGGTTGTCGGTGACTTTGGCAGTGAAAGCGCGAAGAAGAGAGGAGAAAGAGTAGGAAAGCGAGAGTGAATGAGTGATTGCTTGATTGATCCCGTGGGGCAAGGCCAGAAATGTCACGTGAGATAATGGGATGCCCAATACGGACCTTGTGCTGTACGGCCCGGGCCCGCAACGGGTGACTTGGCATAGAGTCACAGTAAATACGGTCTCTTACTTAGCATTTCTTCTACTAATATCACTACGACGACGACGACGACGACTACAACTATACTACTACTACTACTACTACTACTACTACCAGTATGCTGCTCGTGGCTTTGGGCACTGTGATGAACAAGAAAATAAGGTTTTTTTCTCCATTATATGCCACTAATCATTAAATGGCCTTGTATTCGTCATCATGAATATTGATCGAGGTCTTTCTCCCCTGACCATGAAGCAATCCGCCCACCAGATCTGTACGCAGTGAGGCGAAGCCCCTTCAAAAAGGCATATCAAAAGTTTGCTAAGATGTTAATTCGGAGGTGCGGCGAGGAACGTCGCTGCATTTACAACTGAACAGCGGTGCGGAACTTGCTGCCAGCATAGACAGCGTTCTCACCGAGCTCCTCCTCGATACGGAGGATCTGGTTGAGCTTGGCAAGACGCTCAGAGCGGGCAGGAGCACCGGTCTTGATCTGGCCAGAGCGGAGACCAACGGCAATGTCGGCAATGGTCACATCCTCGGTCTCACCGGAACGGTGGGAGACCATGACACCCCAGCCATCGGCGTAGGAGTCCTTGGCAGCCTGGATAGATTCGGTGAGAGTACCGATCTGGTTGACCTTGAGGAGGAGAGCGTTGCAAGACTTGAGCTCGATGGCCTTCTTGATACGCTGGGGGTTGGTAACAGTCAAGTCATCACTGTGATCGTATTAGCAACCAAGTCGGTGGTCTTAGAATCAGGATACGTACCCGACAATCTGGAAGTCAGAGGTCTTGTAGAAGTAGCTCCAGGCCTCCCAGTCGTCCTCAGCGAAGGGGTCCTCAATGCTGACAATGGGGTACTTGCTGGCAAGAGACTTGTACAGGTCGGCCAGCTGCTCGTAGGTGAGCCACTTGGAGGGGTCGGACTCGGGGTTCTTGAAGTCGAGGTCGTACTTCTTCTCCTCGACCTTGTAGAATTCGCTGGAAGCAACATCCATCGCGATGGAGATCTTGCCAGTGTATCCGGCCTGCTCGATGGCCTCGGTGATCAGGTCGAGAGCCTCCTCGGCGGTCTGAATATCGGGGGCAACACCACCCTCGTCGCCGACGTTGCCGGCAGACTGGCCATACTTCTTCTTGGCAAGAGCCTTGAGCTTCTGGTAGACCTCGGCACCCTGGCGAAGACCCTCGGAGAAAGAAGAGGCGTTCCTGTGAAAAACAGAGTCAGTCCGAGTTATCCGTCCCGACGCTTGACTCCGGTTGACTTACTCAGGAACGATCATGAACTCCTGGAAAGCAAGGCGGCCACCGGCGTGGGAACCACCGTTGAGGACGTTCTGGAAGGGAACGGGGAGAACGTAGGGCTTCTTGGTACCAGCCAAGTCGGAGATGTGGGCGTAAAGAGGGATACCCTTCTCAGCAGCGCCGGCCTTGGCGATGGCCAGACTGACACCGAGAATGGCGTTGGCACCGAGGTTGGACTTGTTGGCAGTACCATCGAGCTTGTTCAGGAACTCGTCAACCTTGGACTGATCCTTGACATCAAGGTTCTCCTTGATGACAGCGGGGGCAATGGTCTCGTTGACGTTGTTGACGGCCTTCAAGACACCTGATCACGCACGCAGACAACGTGAGCTAAGTGAAATTGAGGGTGATGAGTAGAAGGTTATCAGACTTACCCTTGCCACCCCACTTAGTCTTGTCACCATCACGGAGCTCGTGAGCCTCGTGCTGGCCTAATCTCGATTGTCAGTTTCTCCAACTTGGAGAGAGGCGGAAGGCAGGGAGGTCACTCACCAGTAGAGGCACCGGAGGGGACAATGGCGCGGTGAAGACCAGTCTCAGTAACGACGTCAACCTCAACGGTGGGGTTACCGCGAGAGTCGTAGACGGAGCGGGCGTGGATCTTGGAGATAGGCATGTTGATGGGCTAATGGGGTGGGGGATGAATCAGTTTTGACTAGAGAAGAAACGGGCAAACAGAGGCCGGGGTCTATATTTATATAAGGAAGATTAAGAAAGGAGAGAGGGGGGGGGGGGGGGGGGAAACAGGGCAAAAACCCAGTGCTTTGAATTGTTGTTGGGTGTGGGTGGCCGACTAGGAAGCGGGGGGAAATCCAAGTGGTTTGTTGTTCACCGAGCACCCAAAATGACTGACGGAGAGGAGGTGGAGAGGTCCGATTGCAATCAATGGATGGGCCAGCCTCACAGCACGGCAGAGCATTGCGGCGTTGACAATCATAGGTAATAATGATCACAACATGATTGAACATAAGCCCATGGGAGTGGAGCATGGCTCCATCAATCCCCAGTATTCATGGGTGATTGGGGTGGCAACTGGCAACCACCACGATGCATTTCAAATGGTGGTTGGTGATGGCGGGGTTAAGCTGTCCCAAAACAGAAATACTTATAGGGTAGGTGGAATGGAAATGGAGGGGTATCGAAAGGGACTCGGGAGGAGGGGAACGGAAGGAGGGGAGGACGAGGGAAGGGGAGGGGAGGGGCGGAGGGCCGAACACGGGGGAATTGAGGATGGAAGAATGAAATGCCAGGAAATAACCTAGCTCAATGAATCAAAAGACTTACCTAAAAATAAGGAGATTAGACCTTTGAAATGATGATGATTGAGGGAGGGAGGGAGAGGGGAAGAGGGAGGAGGTTAAGAGGACAAGAGGAAGAAGTAAAAGAAAGACGGGTAGAACAAGAGGAAGAGAGAGGATTCTTGTACTTGGAGTAAGTTACTTCTTGTAAGCTTGAGCTCTGTCTGCCATGATCAATTGCCCCGGGAAAAGCTCACCCTCTGATCTGCTTCGTCTCCGAATCTTTCCCATGAAATGGTGGGGCAATCTTGTCTTCCTCCTCTCATCACTTGTCCTTCTCCAGCGAGATCTTCCGCGTACCCTCGGGGAAATGTAGATAAAGTACTCCGTACAGTACATGTTGAAAGTAGTTTCTATACCAACCTCGGAAGTAAGTACAGTAGTACATTTACATAAATTCGTGCATAGGCACACCAGTATAATGATATACTCATTCAAGATAGATATAATGATTTCACTGGGAGTGCTGTATGCTGAGCACATCCTCCTCCCCGTATTCATGTCCTCATCAGTTGTTTCCTCGACTGCTGGCTGCGACAGGGTCTGGAAACTTCCATTGCGTAATGACGAAAAGGTTGCCCGGGAGCAACCCATCCTCGTAGATACCTTGATGCCTGAGACTCCTACTCCGTTAGCTTCTCGGATATTTCATACTGCGGCCCCCGGATTGAGCCGTGCAGTACATTTACACCTTTAAACCAAGGCAACCAATCACTTATCACGTGTGGTGCTCGCAATTGCCAATTGCCAATTGCCATCATGCGCATAATCACGTGACTTGGCTGACCTGGTGTCTCCGGGCTCCGAGCTCCTCGACAAGCTTCCCCGAGCTTGGTAGGCGTGTGAAATCAAGACCGTCAGCCATCCATCTCTCAGCCATCTATCTGCTATCATCATCACTATATCCAAACGTTCCTTCGGTTCTTGGGCGCTGGGAGAATACTGCGAACTTTTCGTTGTCTCCGGTTCACCGTCTCGCCTGACATCATCATGAACAGTGGCAGTGATCCCGAGAGAGACCAGGCGCTCGAGGACTACAAGAGAAGTCTGCTGGAGTTGCGGGAATGGGAGGCCAAATTGAAGTCTCTGCGGATGGGGATTAAGGATTTACAGAGAGAATTCGACATCTCCGAAGAGAACATCAAGGCCTTGCAGAGCGTTGGTCAGATCATCGGGGAGGTGCTGAAACAGCTCGACGAGGAGAGATGTAGGTCTACCTTGGCTCATTTTGTTCTTAAAAAGAGAGTTCTGGGACCCGTTCCGAACGTTACTGGGCATATATCTGCCGGTCTTATCTGTACAGGAGCTGACCTCTATAGTCATTGTCAAGGCTTCCTCCGGACCTCGATATGTTGTCGGTTGCCGCTCCAAGGTCGACAAGGCGAAGCTGAAGCAGGGTACCCGGGTTGCCCTGGATATGACTACGTTGACGATTATGCGGATGCTGCCCAGAGAGGTCGATCCCTTGGTATACAATATGTCGCTGGAGGACCCGGGTCAGATCAACTTTGCAGGCATCGGTGGTCTAAATGATCAAATCCGTGAGCTACGAGAGGTGATCGAGTTGCCATTGAAGAACCCCGAACTGTTCCAACGAGTGGGTATCAAGCCGCCCAAGGGTGTCTTGCTCTACGGTCCCCCAGGTACGGGTAAGACGCTTCTGGCACGAGCTGTCGCAAGCTCAATGGAAACCAACTTCTTGAAAGGTATGCATATCAAAGCCATGGGGATTCGTCGCGCCTGCTAATGCTCTCCTTACCCAGTGGTGTCATCTGCTATTGTCGATAAGTATATTGGTGAATCCGCACGGCTGATACGAGAGATGTTCGGATACGCCAAGGAGCACGAGCCTTGCATCATCTTCATGGACGAAATCGACGCTATCGGAGGACGACGTTTCTCCGAGGGTACCTCTGCGGATCGAGAAATTCAACGAACATTGATGGAGCTGCTCAACCAGCTGGACGGCTTTGATTATTTGGGCAAGACCAAGATCATCATGGCCACGAATCGGCCGGACACCCTAGACCCAGCTCTCTTGCGTGCTGGCCGTCTGGACCGGAAGATCGAGATCCCCTTACCTAACGAGGTTGGTCGTCTGGAGATTCTGAAGATCCACTCTAGCACTGTCAAGATGGATGGGGAGATCGATTTCGAGAGCGTGGTGAAGATGAGTGACGGCCTCAATGGTGCTGATCTTCGCAACGTTGTCACCGAAGCGTAAGTGGCTTTCCCAACTGATTATTCTGCTCGAATCAAAGCGGTGATCTTAGACTGACAGTGATTTAGTGGTCTTTTTGCAATTAAGGACTACCGCGATGCGATTAATCAGGATGATTTCAACCGGGCTGTGCGGAAGGTGGCTGAGGCGAAGAAGCTGGAGGGCAAGCTTGAATACCAGAAGTTGTAAATGCATTTCGATGAATGGTCTTACGTCGGACTCAGCCGTCGTGTTCTAGAAATCTGTTTGAAATCACTGGCACGGTCCGCCGACCTTGATTCTGGATAATGTAACTCTAGATCAATATTCTCATCGTACCCAAAACTGTAACGGAATACGTGGTTTAGTTATGTATCTGACTCGAGTTCGGGGAAGTGATGTGGAATAAGTTACTAGTAGCTCCACATCGTCCGGAACACAGACCCTGGAATGGAACCTTGGCTGGGGAAAACAGATGTCCAGTCCATATGTCATGGAGATGATGCTGTACACATAACTTACTGACTATGAGCATTTACTATCCGTAGCTGGAGCACTATCGGAAATGAATGCCAAGGCGGAGTGAGGCTCCGGAATACATTACTTGGCTACGAGTGAGTTTACGGATCTGCATCCTTGACCCGAAAGTCGGAGACGTTACACGCGTCCAGGCCATTCTCACCATTGACTCTAGTTTGTTAAGTTCAGCTCGATATGACCGTTTCAGTTTCAGCCTGCGCAACACATCTGGACACATGTTCTTCACTTAAATGCTTGATATTGAATTATTGATCCTCTCTCTCTCTCTCTTTCTCTAATTCCTTTTCTTTATCCTGCCTCTTCTCGACTACATTATTTCCCGAACTCGGTCGATTGCAACGGACCCTCTCCCCCGTATAGCACGCGTGGAATTCTTGGTTGGTTGGTGCACTGTCTCATTCTTGCTTGCTCTTCATGATTCATGATCCTACAACCGGCCATCTACATTCATTTCATTGTCTCGTGCTTCGAGCAGCTGGCTAACTGGTACATGTGCACTTGTTGCATGTGTTTACTGTCTAGAGCTTCCAAGTACCAATCGACTCGGTTGCCTGCCTTGCTAGCCCATTGCCCTCTCTTCATTTCATGTGGAGCATAGCAAACCAACACACTGTAACCAGCTGTGACGATATTGAAATCATTGTTTCGGATCAACCGACTCAGTCCGTGGGGTTGTGTTCATTATTACCACATTTCAGGCTCGGGTAGAGAGGACAGATATAGTATTTTAGTAGCAGAGGCCTTGGCGGGTCGGTAATGGTCATGGCTTTCCAGGCCCCGCGGAGCAATCCCTCTTTCCCCCCCCAACAACAACCATTCGAGAACAATTACTGGCGTGCGAGTCGAAGTCCCAGGTCTAATGGGTTGCCTGGCTATGGGTTTTCTCCGTCTGCGACCACTACCATCAACCTGAACACTCCGATCGCCGGCGATCGCACCCTCCCGATGTATAAAGACAAGCCGTATTTCGCCCCGCGGCGCACAGGGCCCCGGACGAGGCGAAGGAAGACCATATATGGTGGCTTGTGTCTATTTGCGCTTTTTTTGTGGTGGTACTACTCCGGTTCAATCCCGTCGCAGTCGAGGATTCACCATGACACTCCCGACCCGGCCAAGGGCGAAGAGTTTTGGAAATGGCTGCAGACCCTCGACGACTCCGAACCGACATACGATGGGCACAGCGCAACCTCGAAGCACATTGACTGGGACACGAGGCGGGAGAGGGTTCGCGACGCGTTCATTGTTAGCTGGGATGGGTATGAGAGCAATGCCTGGGGTAAGTTCTACCGGCTCACGAAACCAATCCCACCTGTTCCATCCTGCTAACGTGGTATCCCTGGGGTGGTTGTTTTTGCTGAGCAGGCTACGACGAGTATCACCCGATTGCAAAGGATGGCCGGCATATGGTCGCCGGGGGTATGGGGTGGATAATCGTGGATGCGCTGGACACGTTGATGATTATGAATTTGACATCGCGGGTGCAGCACGCCCGCAGCTGGATCCACAACTCCCTGCAGTATAATCAAAATCATGATGTGAACACCTTCGAAACCACCATCCGTATGCTCGGGGGCCTTCTTTCCGCCCATTATCTCTCGACTACTTACCCGGACCTTGCCCCCATCAATGACGACGATGCAGGAGCACCGGGAGAGGATCTCTATATCGAGAAAGCGACCGATCTGGCTGACCGGCTTTTGGGCGCTTTCGAATCTACTACGGGCATCCCTTACTCGAGCATCAATTTGAATACCTCCACGGGTATTCCCTCTTATATCGACGATGGCGCAGCCTCCACGGCCGAAGCGACTACTGTTCAGCTAGAGTTCAAGTACCTGGCTAAATTGACGGGCGAGGCGGAGTATTGGCGCTCCGTTGAGAAGGTCATGGAAGTCATTGACGCGCAGAAAAGGCAGGATGGCCTGCTTCCAATCTATGTTTCCCCAGAAACTGGTCAATTCAAGGGCGAGAATATTCGTCTCGGTAGCAGAGGCGACTCCTACTACGGTATGTGCCTCAAGGCTACACGTCCGGACTGTTATGCTCAAACTGACACGCCGGCCAGAATATCTTATCAAGCAGTACCTACAGACTTCGGAACAGGAGCCAATCTACAAGGAAATGTGGGATGAAGCTTTACTCGGCATGCGGAAGCACCTGCTTACTTACTCGCAAGACGCCCGCTTGACAGTGCTCGGTGAACGGCCTCACGGCCTGGGCGGCACCTTGTCACCTAAAATGGACCATTTGGTTTGCTTCCTTCCCGGAACGATCGCGCTTGGAGCGACCGGAGGACAACCGCTCTCTGAGGCGCGCAAGTCTCCCAACTGGGGCCAACGACAAGAGGAAGAAATGCGCCTGGCGCGAGAACTGACCAAGACCTGCTGGGCCACGTACCTAGTTACTGAGACTGGCCTCGCCCCGGAAATCACCTACTTCAAAGTCGACGATCCCCGAGTCATGGAAGCAGACATGTACCCGGATTCGACGGCCGTCACTGGCCGAAACGACCAGCAAGTCTCGTCACCAGGCGATCTCCCTCTCCTTTCGAAGCCTCTATACCCGATCCCGACCCGATCTGATTCGAGCGGCACATCTACGAAAACCTGGCTTGATGACCTTGAAATCCAGCGGATGGACCGGCATAACCTCCAACGGCCCGAGACTGTGGAATCCCTCTTTTACATGTACCGTATCACTGGAGATGACACCTACCGACACTGGGGCTGGGAGATGTTCAAGTCCTTCATCAAATACACCGCTGTCGTGGAGACAGACAACCTCGATGAGGAAACAGGAGGGAACCCACCGGCCGCTGAAGGATCGGGTGGCCGCATCACTGGGTTCACCTCTCTCTCGAATGCGAAGACCCTTCCCGTTGCGACCAGGGACAATATGGAGAGTTTTTGGATGGCGGAGACGCTCAAGTATTTCTACCTGCTGTTCTCCGATCGGGATTTCATCTCGTTGGAGGACAATGTGTTCAACACCGAGGCGCACCCCTTTCCTCGTTTCAAGCCCACCGGGGAGTTGAAGACGGGGTGGACGAGGAAGAGTCGCACGGAGGATAGTCAGACCATGGAGCATCTAGCTCAGATGTAATTATTTTTTCTACTTGTTGTGTAATCTGCTTGGCAATTCTGTATAGGTTGCATATCCAAAATTCCATACTTTCGACCGCTTGCATCGTAGCTTCGAAACCTGCCTCCATGGTCTTGTAGATCCCATGCGAAAGAGGACCATTCTTCACAGCTCATTACATCAACCACCGCCGCCACCACCCAATCCTTGCGGCTTACTCCGACTTGAGGCCCCACTGAACAGCAGCATCAATCAGTCGCTTATATCCCCGTACAGCCTCTTCCAGTTGCCCGACGGTGATCGCCTCATCGTCCCCGTGCGCAACATGAATGCTTCCCGGCCCATAGAGGTATCGCTTCACATTCTCCGAGACCTTCAGGTTCGGCACATCAGTGCCGTAGTTCACAGGCATGATCTCAAAGCCAGGGACATCGGTATCCAAGTCCTGGGGCGGATACCCTCCGCTGTACACCTCGAAATCGCAGTAGACGTTCTCATCACCGTGTGTGGCATCCTGAACCGCCTGCGCGATGATCTTCCGCGCGTCGTCCGGCGTGCCCTCGGCCAGTCGAATAGCGACCTCCGCGCGCGCCTTGGCGGGGACAACATTGGCGGCGACGCCGGCATCGACGCGACCGATGTTCACTGTCGTGCGGCCGAATTTCGGGCTGGCCGGCAGACCGCCGTCGTCGGCGGGGATCTCGCCCAGCACATCCAGTCGCGACAGCGCGGGCAGGAGCGCGGAGACGGCGCTCCGGCCGAGCCAGGGGTAGCCGGAGTGGGCGGCCTGGCCCGTGGCCAGGATCGGGAACTCGAGCATGCCCTTGTGGCCGGAGACGAGGGCCAGCTCGGTGGGCTCGCCGAAGATGACGGTGTGGAAGGGCGACGGGGTCGTCGGGTTGAGCGGCGAGTCCGAGAAGACGCGCATCCCCAGGCCGCCGACCTCCTCGTCGACCACGAAGAGAAGCCCCAGGCTGGCCGCCGGGTGCACCTCCAGGGTCTCGAGGACGGCGAAGACCTGCGCGGCGACGCTGGCTTTGGCGTCGACGGTGCCGCGGCCGGCCAGGACCAGGGCGGACCGATCGCCGTGGTCACCATGGAGGGTGTACGGGAGGAAAGGCGGGACCGTGTCGATGTGGCTGGTGAGAAGGATCTCGGGCCGGTCCTGCGAGGGCGAGGAGGCCGGGTATGCGAAGATATTGAATCGGTTCGTGTCGGTGGGCGTGTCCGTTGCCTGGTTGCGGGCGGGAACGGGCTGCTTGATCACGGTGAAATTGTGCGTTTCGAGAAAGTCGGCGATGAAGAGCCCGACGGCGGTTTCGTTGCCGGACACGGAGGGGATTTGGACGAGGGTGCGGTGAAACGAAAGGAACGGCGAGGCATCGATGATGTCCGAGGGGTCAGAGGTGAGCGATAAGGGTGCCTGTTGAGGTGCTGCTGCGGCGAGGCCAGCAGCTAGCAGAAGGGGAATGGGAGTTTTCATGTCTATAGAAGCTGGAGAAGATTGTGAATGATGGCTTTCATAGCTATCATCGCTGAGTGAGGTAGGAAACTGGCAATTGAGAAGTGGGATCTGAAGGTTTCACAGTGAAAGACGAGAGTTAGGGTTCTTGCGTCCAGTTCTAGTACTACGCTAAGTAGCTAGTAGCTAGTAGTAACCAGTAACTAAATTAGTAGCGTGTAGTATCAGTATGAAGCTAAGGGTAGAGGACGGAGAGGAGGAGACACTGGAGATAAGCCGATAACCAGCCGATGCCTGCAGGCATACTTTCACGTCACGTGGACTGCGGGCGGCAGGATTGACCTTCTTGGTCTGGAATAGTGTCGCATGGCATCATCGAGACCAGAGAAGACAGAAGCGTGTTTGCCCTGAACGATGCTGCATAAGTTGCACACCAGCTATCTCCATGCCGCAGTGAAAGAAGCAAGAAAGGAGCCCAAAAGGTATGCTGCTTCAAGACCCTTGCTCTTATCATGTAAACAAGGGCATTTGCTGAACCGAGTCGGTCGTTCGAATCGATCAACCATTGTTGGGCAATTTGGAACTGTGGTCCGTGGATAACCCACCTCATGACGTAGATTTTCCCGACAAATGACTTCTCCACCTTTCGACAGCCGCGATGGGCTCCAATCCACCTCAGGACCAATCAGTCATTCATGCATTTCTTTTTGCATCAGGGCTCAGGACCCGGATGCTACGACGTATATGGCCGCATCTCAGCTCGCTTCGCACCGACCCCGGACGAAGTACCATGAATTGATCCCTCTCACAGTCTGAAACCTACAGGGTACAGAGGACCATGTATCAGTTTAAAAGTCCAGTACATGGGGTTAACAATGAATGCAGGAGCAGCAAATGCCGACCACCTAACCCGATCATCTGGACCGTGGGCACATGGCGCCAAGGTCCCTTGCTCGCGGAAACGCGCCGTTCTTCCACCCGTTCGTCTGGCATTCTCCATCGGGCAAAATCAATTTGAACCAAGGTTTAACGGAAAGGGGACCCAAATCCAGAGAGTGAGTGAGTATGGAGCAGGGATCCAGCCGGTTGGCGCTGGGCCATGTGGATCTGACGTCGGCACCAGCTGGATGATTGAGCTTTTCGCCCAAGCCCACAACAACCCACAGCCACCCACAATGAACTAGTCCGTACTGTACAAAAGCAACTTATCACGCTGCCTCACATGCCAACAAGCAAACTAATTTAGCAGCCCCCGGACCCCGAAATCGGGACCAGATCGGAGCATAGACCAAGGTCTGACAAGATAGAGATTAAGAAATGGCGGAGGGGAGGGGGCCACAATCACATCCTCATACAATGTAGTGAGCCGAGGCAGTGACGAGACGCGCCTTGTAATTCGCCGCCGGAGAAACGAGAAAGAGAGAGAGAGTGTGTGTGTGTGTGTGTGTGTGAGAGAGAAGCATTGCACTGGCCACAGCCAAAGTACAGCACCTACCAGCTCGTCTTTCCTTTCCACCTGCTGACTGACTGGTCGATTGGAACAAAGGTTTGTGTGATAAGTCATGGTACTTTCGGCATACTACCCTCTTCTTCAGCCGTGACTGGAGGGGAACGATGATGGAGCCCGAGGGAGGGTCGCACAATATTTTGGTGCGCGACAGAACGAAAGAATCCACCAGCCACTGGGGGTACAGTTCATTGTGTCCATTAGATAGGGTCGCGCTGTATTGGACCAGTCGAGTCGGTCAGAGTCTAGACTCGACCTTAAGACACATTCCTCTCCTTCTCCTCGTCCGTCGGCGGTGTCGATCTCCCTTTCACAACGATGCGCTGCCGCCGTTGAAACGTATCTGAGGGAGTCTCAGACAGCTGGAGGACAAGATAGATCATTTGATCGTTGATCGATCGGGCAGTCCCTTTCCAGGTAAAGTTACGGGTAGGTTAAAGTACTTGTCCCTGTACTAAGTACTGTCCTTCCACTTGTACCTGAAATCTTATTAGGATTTCCTCAGGAACAAACGAGGCAGTAACCTTCTTTTCTCTTTCCGCGGAGTAGTTGTTCGACCGTGTCTCTTCTCCGGCGCCAGGATGATGGCAGAAGCCCAGAGAACAAGGGCGAGCCGTGGGGAGAGAAAAAGCCGAATCCATGGGCTCGTTTACTGTGGAGCGAAATGGAGCCAGCAGTACTCTGTACACACAATGGACCTATCTATTGAGCACAAAGCAGAGGACAGTACCCGATACACTCTCTAGCAGAAAAGTCTTCTCTGCTCACTTTGGGGTGATACTTCAGTTCGGGATAGTCTCTCGCTCTTTCTCTCTCGGTTTTCTTAAAGCCAATTTTAATCTTGTGATTACTTTCTGTCAATTATAAATCCCCTCCTTCTTTCCTTCTTCTAGATCCTGATAGTGCCGAAAACCCTGAGGCTGGCCTGTCAGATAGCTGGATCAACCATGCAAGAAAAATTCTTCAATGGAGACATCAGAGAGCTTGGCCACTCAAAGCACCAGTGACAATGCGGTTTGTCGTTCGATCCATGGTTCTGGACTGGAGCCGAGGGCAAAAATGTCGTAAAGGAAGATTGATTCTTAGTAAAGCAAGAGAAGAAAAAGAAAATAACAAATAAAAAAAAATAAAACAACAACCAAGAAAACAGGAAACAGGAAACAAGAACTAAAAAAGAAAAAGAAAAAGGAAGTACTTCCGTAGAGAGGGGAGATTAAAGACTGTTAAGTATGACAAGAGGCAAGAAGACTGGTGATTTGGTGGTTAATTGTGATTCAATTGTTACTTAATCCTATTATTTTTAGTAGGTAGTTTAGTTGTAGAATTCTGATTCATTATTGCATCCATATCTGATTACATGGGTACATGAGTACATGAGTAGAAACTTTCAATTCAGAAGACATTTTGTCTGTGCTTTTCCTCTCTGATTATTACTGTCAGTTGGTCAGTCAGTGTCTGCTGTTGTTTTCTCATCCATCCTCAATTTCATCCATCTCCATCTCCAATTCTCCCCTCCCCCTCCCTCTCCCCCTCCCCAACATTGTTGCTTCCCTCCAGTTTCTTCCTTTCTTCCTCTTTCTTCATTCCTCTTCCTCCTCTACTCCCTTCTTCTTTCCCCCTCTTCTGGATTTTTTTCCGATTCCTTCCAACCTTTCATAAACGGAAGGATTCTGTTCCTGGCCCTCTTTCTCTCACCGCAAGCCACCCCTCCCTCCAACGCCCGCCGATTGCCGGCAGCCTACACTTGGCTGTTTCCGCCGTGCTTTTTGGGCTTCACCCAACCACCCACCCTCTCTCATCCTCGGCCACTTGTTCGTCATCCGCGTGTCCTGACAGGCTCCACGTCGGTCATCGCCTTTCGTTCTCAATATCCTTTACATCAATCACTGCATCTTTCTTCCCCCATTTCCCATCCCCCGCCCGACTATCCGACTACCCGCCTCTAGTGGCCAGGCCCTGTCATTTCAACAAAAGTCGCATCGTGACAGGCAGACAAACGAATTGTTCGGCCTCATCTCGACCTACTTATCGGTTGATTCGTCTAATCTGTCCAGGTGTTGGTGTAGAAGCCATCTCGACTCATCTCAATCTATCCCACCGCCACGCCACGTCTGCTACTAGTAGTGATCCTGGTCCATCAGCCAGAGCC